CGCGTCCTGGGCGCACTTGAGCACATCGGCCTGCGAGCCAATGACGATGAGGTCGTCGCCTCGGTGGCGGGCACAATGACGGTGTGCGCGACGACGGCGATGTAGCCGTCAATGTGGCAGCCCAAGTCGATCTTGACCCAGTCGCCGGCCTTGATCGTGGTCGTCTCGTTCGGGAGCGGCGAAAAGTGGCACACGACCTCGTTGACGCTCACGCACGTCGGGAAGGCAATGCCCTTCTCGACCTTCTTGGACTTGTAGACGGTCGCGGCGCGGGCCGTGATGATGGCATCGCCGAAGGCGCAGAGCTCGACGACGCTCTTGCCGGGCGCGAGTTGGCCGATGACGCCCTCGAGCGCCGACTGCGCGATCTCGGCGGCAAGGCGGTACTTGGTCACGACGTCCGTGTTGCTGCAGTCCTCGATGACCGGGGCGTCGGCCTTGATCTCGGCCGCATCGTGCTCGCTGATGTCACTCATCTTGGGGTTCGTACTGGAAGTGGGAATTTCGTCGACTGAAGCCAAGCCACTCGCTTCCCAAAGCTGCCAGCCACTCTTTTTTCTGGGGTCCCGGACCGGTTTGCTTTTGAATTCGCACTGTTACGCTTGGTGTTTGTATACAACATTGAATTTGGGTATTTTTATTATGCATTTCCTCAGAGTATTTTTAGACGGCGGCCGTTTTGCACATGGGCGACGCAGAGTATTTTAATAGCTTGGGATTTGTATGCAGAGCCATTTAAATCGGAGGCAAAAAGTTGGGTGCGCCCAGCGTCAACCGAATCGAACGCGCAGGTGCGCGATGAGCTGGCAGCACGAGAGGCCAGAGCGAATGATGGTCGCGCCAAGACTGCGGATGACGGTGCGCTTGCAATGGCAGCAAGAACGCTGCATGCATCTTCCATTGGCCTCGCATCCGAGTGCCACGAGCAACTTTGTCTGGCCGCCGACTCTAAACAATAAAACAGCTTTGAACGCAGAGGGGATCGCTGTGCAAGGACCTTTGAGCATTTTGTCGTGCCTTGATACACCAGGGACGGAAAAAAAGTACGTAGTATCAGTATGACGTAGTATGACGAGTTATTAACAGCACCGACACCGATAACGAGCAAGTCGAAAAGACAGGATCCGACCGGGTATCGAACCCAGTGATGATGGTAGCACGTGCATCAGTGTGCTGGTGTGTTTATTATTTAACGACGATTGACTATCGACCAGAAGACCAAAGTTCGCGCCTCAAACCAACTAAAACGGACCTCCAGCGCAACCACCTCGACCACTAGGCACTTTGCTCGTTCTATTGAATTGCATACAAATATGCAGAGAATGGGCGTCGACGGAAATATATTTCTCGTGGCCAATCAAACCAACATCGTCAGGCGGGACGCGCGCCATGAACGATCTCGTGTCGGCTTGTGAGGCCATTTTGTAGCAACCTAGAGCACCGCCGTTGTACATCTGCACGGGCACCCAAGGCATCTCGCCGCTGCCGGTCGTGAGCGTGGAGAGACTTCCGGACGCGTTGTCGTGGCCTGTATCGAGTACCCAGCACGGCCAACTCGGCGCGCTGTACGGCAAGGCCAGTGTCGTGCCCGCCGCCGACATCTACATCGCCAATCAGAGCGCGTTGGAAGAAGCCCTCGTCCAAAAGGTCGTGCACAAGCTTTTGTTGACGCTCGGTGTTCGCGCCTCGAACGTCGGTGCCGTCTTGTCGCACCTCTGCATTGACTCCGCCGGGTCCATTAAACCCCTCCGCGCCTCAACAGGCTGCATTGCCAATGCGTTCGGGACACTGATCGTGCTGCTGCCGTCCGACCACACGGGCGGCGTCCTCACGTTCCAGCGCCACGAGCACGCAATCACGTTGCCGCAGAACGCTGCCGAGCGACCGAGAGGCTTCGACGGTGTCTTCATCAACACCACGATTACGTCGACGCCCATCACGTCCGGACGCCGGCTCGCACTCGTCTTTGGCTTGACAGGGGTTCACGAACCGGAGCGAGGGCCGTCGCGGCTGCCGCTGAACCGAACCGGTGCGGCCGCCAAGGTAGCGGTCCTCGCCGCGCGACTGCTGCCAGAGTGCCACCGCATCGCGTGCAGCCTCGCGTACCTCTGCCCAGCGCCAAGCGACGTTGGCGATCCTTACGCAGACTCTTTGATTCCGCGCCTGCGACCTCGGCACAAGTACCTCGTCCACATTCTCGTGGCCTCGGATGCCTTTGACATCGCCGTCGTTCGGTTTTTGACGGAATAGGCACGCGACGACAGGTGGTCCGACTTTCAACATTCGTGCGGCGCTCATATCCTGCGACTAGCGAGAGCGACGACCCAAGTAGCGGCGAGGACAGAGCCGACGTCGACAACCACGTCGCCGCATTCGAGTTCCATCCGTCGTGCAACGTGCCGGATTTGGTAGCCAAGCGGCTCGTCAGCGTCTCTGCCCACACCTTCCTCTGCGAGGGCGGCCATAATGAGCTCGTGCCCGTAAGTGCTCCCTCGGAGATGGCGCTGCTCTTCTGGCCCAAGCGATTCCGGGCCGGCATCGTCGGCATGAAGACCTCCATGGCCCTCCTTTGGGAGGACATTCTGTCGCGCCGAACGATGCACCCGTTGGGGCTCGCAAGTGCCCGGGAACTCGTCTTTTGGACCATGGCTATCTTCCACGCAATCGCCTCTCTCGACTTTTGCGACGAGCGGGCTGGTACCGCGCGCGACGGCCATGCAGCCGCCATGGGCGACGTGCTCTGCGCCTTCAACGACGACGAAGTCGCTGCGCACTTTCTCAGCGCCGCGCTCTCCGTCTCGCCGAGAGGCGTGCCTTGCCGCCGCATCGCGCTCACCGACGCCGTCGTCTGCGTCCGCACA